GAGTGCACTCAGGAGGGTTTGAACCTCCGAACTGGATGAGGTCTGCAAGCTTTAGCCAATCAAGCTATTTGAGCTTTGTGATATAAATTATATGTACAAACAAACCGCCAATTCAGACCAAGAACTAGCAAGCTCTTAGGTGATTGCTAATCCAGATCAGTAATTCCAAGTCCAGATTGATGATTTTTCAATAACTGGTCAATACTCCCAATCCTAACTCAATTTAAAACCTAATAACAACATCCCATCCATAACCCACCTTAATTGAGCACATCCCATCTTATATATAGATACCCTAAATGTTACCTAGGTACAGCGCAACGCAACCAGCCTCATACAACATATTCGAATCATTCCCTTGGTTGTAATTCTTTATAACCTTGGACATCTCATGGACAAGATATGAGAAATTTTCAAGTCTATAAATGTTAAATTCCACCATTTACACATGGAGCCAAAATGAAGCTGACCTGTTGACTAATATGGGAGTCATTCAGAATATGGAATTTGTATTTATCACTATTATTCAATTGTAAGACTCCACACAATAAAAAGACAAAAGTAATTGGGTATTATTGTCTATAAACGAGTTGGTTTAGGATATAAGTATTTTAAAAGATATGTGGGGGGCGGGGGGGGGGGGGAGTAGCATTTAATCAGGCTAGAACATAAGGGTTAATCACGAGGAGAAAAGAAGATGCAAAACCATCACATGATACTTAAAAGGATAACGTTCTTCCAAAGACGAAGTATGGTTCACTGTGAGATGAACCTACATGGGTTTTCCCCTGTGGAATGTGTGATACCAAAACAAAAAGGTTCCATTGGTGAAAGAAAATCCATCAAGAGATGTGGCATCCAGGTAAGGTTCTACCTCAAAAGATCAGTAGACATCAAAGGTGGAAACGAAAAGCATAACAACCCAGGCATTGATTGAACTGGAATCGTTTGACTTTCTTTTGTCTTTTCCACCAAATGCACAAACTTATTTTTGCCAACCAGATTTGTACCTTCAAAATAGTTCATATCCACAAAAAGACCAAGAACAAACGAACCCCTTCATTTTCCAGAATATCACCACAACAAGCACTGGTCCAGTCAATGAGAAAAATGGAGTGAAAACCTAGCAAATTTATTATTGAAGGAAAGCCCACGCCCTTAATCTACCAATGAAATGTCCTGATTATTAGACAAGGCATATTGCCTTTCCTAGACAGATATATACGAGCTAGAGAGATGTAAAGCCCTCGATACTTGAGAGGCCCTTAATCTAAAATGAAACTTCCTGATTATTAGACAAGGCATATTGCCTTTTCTAGATAGATATATATGAGCTAGAGAGATGTTCATTCCCATAACTGAATTGGAAGGCACCTGTTCTTGAAACCATGAGGTTATGGGTTCAAAGCCAGTTGAACTACCCAAGGAAGAAAAGAAAAAGGCTCCGACAGAAACAGAGAGATTCAACATTTCACCCCCAAAGCCAGTTAAACTACCCAAGGAAGAAGAGAAAAAGGCTCCAACAGAAACAGAGAGATTCAACATTTCATCCCTGGATCAAGTCGGAAGGTTTGCATGGGAAAGTCATGTTGTAGCTATATACAACTGGATAGTTGTGAGCTCAATCTAGACTTTATTTTCAGGTCCAGACACTTTGTTCTTGGATTATCCACTTGACCTCTTTGGCATACTAAAAATCAATAAATTGATGAAAATGACTTTATAAATCATTAAACCACATTTGTTGACATAAATTGTCTCAGAATAACTTAGATGATGAACCACAGCATGCATAAAGGGCATTAATGGCATCAACCAAACTAAGTAGACAAAAAAACTTATAAATAGTCCAATAATAGATTCAGTAACACCTTATCGCCTTGAATAAATTGCAACTTACAACAATTGCGTTAGACAATTCTTGATGAGCATCATCAAGTTTTACTGCCATTTTAGCAACCCGGTGCGAGAGAACTTTTTGCCGATTGCTCCAATCTGCATTCTTCCAAATGCTTTTTGGGATTTCGCTCAAACCAAAGCCAAGTAAAAAAGCGCCTGTGACAAGACCAAAAGTATTCGAGCATGCCATGGCCAAGCCAACAACACCACCACTCCTGACAGTAATAAATCCATTAATTAATAAACACAAAGCTATGACAGAGGTAATCCTAGTTACTTATATTGGAAACTAAAAACTCATAAAACCCTGGAGAGGAAAACTTTGCCATGCTTGACTTATGAACATGTGCACCAAGAAGAAAAGGATATAGTGGTATTTTCAATTTGCATCGACAACAATTTTGGCTAAAGCATAACATAAACATAGTTGCACATCCGATAACGTGAAATAGTAGCCTTGAATCTCATCAATATACTAGTAGATATATGTGACAATAAATGGAAGAAATCGACCCAAAACAGATTTGGGTACTCTAAATAGAATGCTAGCAACAGGACGAACCAGAACATTAACCACTGACCCATGGACAAAAGCAGATCATGTGAGATCAAAGAGGAATTTAAGATAAAACACAAAAGAAAACTTTATGGACCTCAATCTACTACTACCCAATTCCATTAACTAAAAAGTGGCCCCACCTTTACACAATATTACCATTTTGCTTCGTATGGGCAAAAGAGGCCTAGCCTTCGGCTTTGGCCTCAAAATGAAGTAAACCAGTGGTTAGACCGAACCAGATCCTGTTTAGCCCACTTCAGTGAGCTTCAGCCTCTTTGGCCACAATAACTACTTTTTATGTATCCTTCTGTTTCTTTCTTATTATTCCTTTTGTTTTTTGTCACAAATTTTCAAAGACATTTCTTGAATTGCTGAAACAGTGAAATACTCCTCTGTAGACAAATGAAACGGGCTCTGAAACCTATCTGACAACACTGCTCTCACTTAATAAAGGCAGAGAGAGAGAGACGTTGCAATTTTAGAATTAGAACTAATCCCAGAGAATAAGAACTACAAGCGTCAACAACTTCCCCAGCATGATCCCTAAGATAAACATTCAGACAAAAGTTCAAGGGAAGAGGGAAGGACATGGAGAAGTCCAAAGTGTCATCCAGACGTTTCCAAAAATACATATTTACAGTGCATAGGGATGGACATACAACATAAATATCCCTCCTTCCCTCCCTCAGGTAAATGTTTATTTCAGAATTATAGCAAGCAGAGCAATCAACCCTCTATTTCTCTAATATCGCTCCCTCCCTCCCATAATGTTTCTTTCAGCATCATACCAAGCAGAGCAATCACCCCTCTCTTTCTCTAATAATAAATCTGTTTTACATTTCGATAAATATTTTTCTGTAGTCAGAGTGGTATTTCCCAATTTAAGTTATTCACACAGTACTTCAAAAAAATAAAAATTATTCACATGGTATTATGTATAACCGACCCCAAATAGTTGGGAAAAGGCTATGAAGACATAGTATTATCTATACAATAGTATATCTTTTGTAGCATTTTGTTATATTTGTTCCAAAACATGCTTACAGAATTTGGCTCTGTGCTTGTTTGAATAGTCAATAACATTTTGTCCTACGTATCAGAAAATATGTATGAAAGAAATATACCACAAAATATGTACTACATAAGACTTCAACAATACGTATAACTTACAAGGAATCTTGTGTTGTATACATTTTACATACAAAATGTAAGTTATTAAGTCTATAACATGTTGGAATGACATAGGTTAAATGTGGGCTTGTTCTCAGTAAAATAATGTGTATAAATTATGAAACAATAATTGCGTTGTCAGTACAGTAGTCCTTAGTACTATAAAGAATGAGCAGGTGCAATGGGACACTACCTTTGAACATGTTCAGGGTAGGGTGCCCGAGGATATGCATGCATAAGTGTATGTGTGGGTGTCTGTCTGTGTGTATGGGATATCCAATAGAATTTCAGTCCTTGTAAAAAGGATAAAGTCTAACAAATTAATAAAAAGATAAAAGAGAATAAAGTCAGATATATTGGTAGGATATTATCTAATCCCTAATTGTATGGAATCATTCTCTTTGAGCCCAGATTGAAGCATATTATACTAGTTCAGCAAAATGATATAACACCAGTTATTAACTGAGTGCAGATTTGAGTAAAAACAGTATTTCTAGAGCCTTTAGAGAATATGACAAGATCAGGAATAGTCAGTGAACCAAACTGCGAAGTAATATCTCTCAACAAAATGGAAGAAACCAAAGCTTGCAAACTAACATCAAAGCGCAAACTGAACCATGAAAAAAATATATATATAATCCACTGAAAAGAAACTACAGCAGATACTAACTTTTATTTTTGGTGGTGAAATTAGGTACTAACCAATTTTTGTGCATGATTATTAGGAGAATTAGCCCAAAGAGGCCAATAAATCCGACACTAAGATAGAAAACTAAATTCCCATGTATACTAGTCCTTAGTTTTTCTTTAAGTGTGAAGTCCCCTGCATCTTCATAGCCCTGAATAGTAGGCACCACAGCCCTGCTTAGATAAATAAGAGTAAATGAGGAGAGGACAAAATGAGAGTGTGCAAATAACAGAAGTGGAGATACAATTCCACAACTTCATATAGTCAAGATGAATCCAGAAAGCAATATAAAATAACGCATGTCACAAAAGAACTAGTTCGATAAATTAGCCTATTATGTACAGGAGGTATCTATGCTAGGCATTCAGTCTGCCTCCTGCAATTCAATCGGTAGTCTGGTACTGAGTTAAGGGCTTTGCATTCCAAATTTCCCAGCACCCAAGTTACACAGAGTATAATGAAAGGACAGAAAGCCCAAAGAGAAATTTCAAAACAAAAGAAAATTACACACTAGAAATATGAAACAAGAGAGCTTACACAAAGAAAGCATTAATCATTCTGCATATCAATATATAAATGTCAATGTGTGTGCTACTGCACATTTGCATGTAGGAACTTGCACACACACATAAATACATACACCATCAATAATCATTCTTTTTTTTAAGAAGAACAGGCATAATATTCAGTTGGAAGTGTCGCAGGAAAGGCAAAACCAAAATCCTATCCTATTTATTTAAAAAATTAAATACTCTTTGATATCTCTAGTGCCTTCTCTCAGCCCCACTTTTCCTGCAAACTCTATTCTCAATCTTCATCTAGATCGTCTTCAGCTCACCACTAGTCTTGTCTCTGAGTATAGAACCACATTTCTCAAAACTCCTTTATAAATAATAACCTGAGATAGTCCCAAGATTTAGTCTAGCGAAAATGTCTCTGACATGAAATATTACCTAGATTTCGATAAACTAATAAGAATGCAAATAATGTCAAACTTTTAGAATCTGTTCCAACATCCAATATTGTAATCATTAGTCCTTTTGCATGCTGCTGTTTTTTTTGTTCCTTCTACATTATGTTCACAACTTGCACACTCCTTTATTTTTATTTTTTTTCTCTTTTAACCTATTTCCATGCAATGCATGTTCCATTGACTGGTATAGGTGTTGTGTGTATAGATGTACGTAGTTGAAAATTCTTGCAACTATTAAAGCAGGATTGAGATATAAATACCATAGTCAAGTTACAATAAGTGATAGCAAAAATCCTTGCAATGTTTAGTACTCCACTGACTAGTAATGATTAACTATCAATGTGCATTTAGCATCAGTATTGGAATTCTGGACCGATTTACTCGAGCTTAGCTAGTAGCTGAGGCAAGTACCCATGTACCTACTCGGGTACATGGGAACCTGTACAGTACTCCCTCATTTTTTTTATCCAAATTCCTTTGAAATTTGGTTCTAGTTAAACATGCTTCAACCCTTGACAAGATCCCATGCTAATTGGTTGGCTTAAAGCCTAGAAATTGCGAAATTTAACCCAAAAATTCTCTTTTTGGGGAAAAATGAAGTTTACTCCTACCCCAATCTGCCAATGCTTTGATTTCAGCCTCATTTTTAAGCAATTCCGTTGAAATTTGGTTCTAGTTGAATGTGATTAAACCTCTACAAGATACTATTTGAGTTGGATCAAAGCCTAGAATTTAAGAGATTTGGGCCAAAAACCCTTGGATTTGAGGAAAAATGCAGTTCTTTTGTTAAAATCTACCTCAATCTGCCAATGCTTAGATTCCTCCATTTCTTATCCAAATTCCTATTTGTGTTCTTGATTAAGTTTTTAAAAAAAAAATTAAATGTATTTTCAGATATTTTGGATTTTTCCCTCTCTTTTTTTTTTATCTTATTTGTTTTACTCAGAGCCTTTGTAGGCTACATGGAAACTCGAGCAAGTGAGCAAGTTCACTTGAACTTGCCCAAGTTACTCGGCTCTGGAAAATGCCAAGTCCCGAAGCCGAGAAGTGTTTTGAAACCTTGGTTAGCAGTCAGTCTAGTCACCCTCAATCAGTATAATTAACTATCAATAGAGGCTATCGGCAAGTGCAGCAGCACAAGGAGCACCTACAGTTTCAAGAAGGCAGAAGCCTTTGGTCAAAAGAACCGCAAAGCATGCCTCAATTGGCAAGTAGGAAACCACAAAGCGACTAAGAAAATTCTTTTTTTTTTTTGAGAAAGGTTGACTTTTGTATTGCTAAATATAGTTGGAGTACAGTTGTGGGTTTATCCAAATACTAGACGGGTCTCCCAGTAAAAAATCGGTCATCAGACCCTATACAAAAAAATGGGCTTATAGATATGCCCGATTACAATAGATTTACAATGAGGTTACAAAATATTGGGCTTATAAGTACGCCCGATTACAAAGAGATTGTCTACTATGTGTACCCTCTGTGGTCCAGAGCAAAAAAGGAGATGGACCGGGTTTGGTCTTGTACTTGGGCCCTAACCCCGTCCTTCGCCAGGAGATCAGCGAACTCGTTTGACGTCCTCGAGATATGCTTCTAGAAGATGACCATATCCCTGCAAATGTAAGCAATCTCATAAAAAATCGAAGCAAGGTACCATGGAGTGTTGACCTCCCGGTTGCCCATGACATAATGTTACGTGCGTCTCCCTCCACTAGAAGGTGTCGTCCCCAAGACTGATTGAAACTTTTAAGGCCCAACAGCAAGGCTGTGGCTTCGACGTACTGAGAGTCTTCATGGCCCAGGTGCTCGGAGTAGGTGAACAGAATATTGAAAATGGTCTCTCAAGACACCACCCACAAGGCCGGGGTTCCCCAGAGAACACCCATCAAAGTTAAGCTTGATGATACCTTCTGGAGGAGGCAGCCAGTTGTTTGTTCTTTGCACCTTTCGTGGCTGGTGGTACAATATGTTTTCCCAATGACAAAAGAAAGTGTTCGCAGAGATACTCGAAAAGATCATGTGGTTGGAAGCCTAGAATGTTACTAAGGTTATAACCTTGTGAAAAAGTGCTAAGCCTTGGGTATAAAGGCCTTGGAAAATCCTAGAGTTTCTTTCTGCCCAGATCACCCATATGGTGACTGCCACGGCAGCCTTCCATAACGTTTATGCAGCCTTTGGCCAATGTGATGCGTGGTCCGAGGATATAAGGTCCTTGACCGTCACGGGTGTAACCCATTGAAAGTCAAACAGCTGCAATATTTTACCCCAAAGGTTGTGAGCTAGGTTACAGTGAATGAAGAGGTGAGGATTCGATTCCTCCTCAATCAAACACATGACACATCTACTGGGGATAGGAACCCCTTTCTTTTGAAGCTGGACTACAGTGAGTGCCCTTTCGGAGCACGCTATCCAATCGAAGTCTGTACTTTAGGGGGGGCTATTGTAGACCAGACCTTGGATAGGACAGAGGATGGGTTAAGAGGGAAGGTGGGGGTTGGATAAGTTTTTTGCAAAAAGAGGCCACCGAAAAGGTACCAGAGGGGGCAGAAGACCATACCATCAAGTCTCTCCCTTGTGGTGAGATGACCGAGAGTGAGAGGAAGTGATTGCTTTCCTCTTCAGAAAGGTATCTTCTGAACGAGGGGTTCCACACTCTTCGGCCTCCTGCCAGCACCATTTCCTCAGCAATGGTGGAGTCTTTATTTGCAGCGATGGAGTAAAGGGATGGAAAAAGGTCCCTTAGAGGCGTGTGTCCTAGCCAAAGATCTGACCAGCGCCGCACTCTTGTTCCTTCTCTTGGATAAACCTGATGAATTTTTTGAACAGTGAGAGGGAGGAGGTGAACAACTTCCACGCTCCTAAAGCCCTGCTCAGAGGTCTCCTCTCAGGCACGCAAGTTCCTTCAGAGATCCTATATTTGCTACGTAAGACCTGAGCCCAGAGGGAATCAGTCACCATTTCCCTAACAAGACCAGGTTATGTTTTCTTAGGTTCCTGATCCCTAGTCCTCCCTTATGTTTGGGTAAGCAGACTTTATCCCAAGATATTAAATGGTATTTTGTTCTCTCTGCCTGTCTCGACCAGAGAAAATTCCTCATGAGTTGTTCTAGGCGGTTGGCCACTGAGGTTGGCATATGGAAGAGAGACATGAGGTAAACAAGAGCATTAGCCAAAGTTGCTTCGATCAAAGTGGTACGGCCTGCCTGAGAAAGGTCTCTCCCTTTCCATCCTGTCAAACGCTTGTCAACCTTGTCTAATACGTGAGACCAATGTCTCTTTTTGGGTTTTCCCAATCCCAAAGGCAGACCAAGGTATGTTGTGGGTAGGTCCTCAACTATGCATTCCCAATTTGGGATAAGCTCTCTGATTTCAGCGTTGGCGAGTGCCACCCCCATCATTTCTTATTTTTCCATGTTGACTTTGAATAACCACTTGGAAACACTTGCGGTAAAGCCTCAAATTATCAATTTCTTGTGAAGATGCGTCTAGGAACACCAAAGTGTCATCTGCATATTGCAGATGAGACAATGTTGGACCTCGGTGATAGGTTTTGAAGCCCATGAGGAGGCCTGTCTGGTACAAAAAGGAGATAGATCGGCTGAAGATTTATGCTGTAATAGCGAAAAGAAAAGGGGAAAGAGGCTCCCCTTGGCAGAGCCCCATCGATGAAGGGAAGAAGCCTCTTGGGGTTTCTTTGATGAGAATCAAGAAATGAGGATGAGAATAGCAACCTCTCATCCATTTTCGCCAGCGGTCTTGGAACCCCATTCTTGCCATTGACTCATCCAGAATGGACCCATCAACATGGTCATACGCTTTCTCCCAGTCAATCTTAAAGATTAGACCATGCTTCTTGGACAAATGCCTAGAGTGAATGCACTCATGCGCTACTAAAGCTCCGTCTCGGATTTGCCTATCTTTGATGAAGGCAGTCTGAGACGGAGAGATGATAGAAGGAAGGACTTGCTGCATTTTAGAAGCTAGAACCTTACCCAGGATTTTGTAAGAGGAGTTGAGCAGACTGATTGGGCAGAAGTCCTTTAGCTCCTCAGCCCCTTCTACCTTGGGGACTAAGGCAATGAAAGTAGCATTGATGGCTTTGTGAAGAATTCCCTGATAGAAAAATTCCTCCAAGAAACTCATGAAATCTGGATGGAAAGTTTCCCAGAAGATTTTGAAAGGCGTTATTGGGAACCCATCTAGACCGGGGGCTTCGTCTTTGGCTAAGTCATCTAAAGCTTTTAGGATTTCCTCCTCTGAAAAAGGTTGCTCGAGCCAAAGGGCCTGGTCTTTCGTAAGCGCTAAGAAATCAAGGTCAATCATTTAGGTCTGGGACCCAAAGGGGCAGTGTAGAGGGCCTGAAAGAAGTCCAGAATGGCTGATTCGATTTCCCTAGGTTGTACTAAATAGCGGTTATTCGACTTGATAGTTGAAATAGTATTGTCTCTCCTGCGACAATTTGCTATCCGGTGGAAGAAACCTGTATTTTGATCCCCCGCTTTTAGCCAATTAACTCTAGACCTCTGGAATCAATAAAGTTCATCTTTTTTTAGGGTGGAGAAGTATTCCAACTTTGTTTGGGTTCTCAGGCTCGATTCACTGTCTATCAGAGGTCTAGACTCCTCAATACTGTCGAGCTCTTGGATGCAGTTGAGAAGAAAGGACTTGAGATGGGAGTAATTCTCAAGGATGGACTTACTCCAGGTCTTTAAGGAGGCTTTAAGAAGTTGAATTATGGTTTGGAGCCTATAACCTGCTCCTCCCGAGACCTGACCAGAGAAGGAGTTCCACCAGATAGGAATCTTAGTGGGTAAAGACTCCTCTTCAAGCCAAGCTAATTCAAATCTAAAAGGCTTTGATCCTCTTCTGATCGCTTGAGTGTCTAGAACGATAGGGCAATGGTCAGAGGTGGGTTTAGGCAGGGCCATGGCATGAGAGCCCGGATAGGTTTCCTCCCAATTCAGAGATAGGATGAACCCATCTAGTTTAGAGAGAGTGGGTAGGGGGGAGTGATTGGACCAAGCAAAGAAGCTTCCTTGGAGTGGAATGTCTAGGAGTTCATTTCGAAAGATGAAATCCGAGAAGTCCATCATTCCCTCGGAGATGGTTGGGTTGGACTTTCTCTCATGAGACCATCTCGTGATGTTGAAATCTCCACCCAAACACCAAACAGGGTGAGGTAGGGTGGCGACACAGTCCAATTCTGCCCAGAAACGAGGACGGAAAGAAGCTGAGCTAGGGTCGTATATGGCCGAGAATTTCTACAAGAAGTCATCTAAAATGCGAGAAAGTAGAATGGTGACGGAGAACTCCCCTATAGGGAAGGAGAGGAGGAGGTGATCTGATGAGTTCCAGATCACCCATATACCACCTGAAGCCCCGTCCGCAGATAGAGCGACCCACTGGCCAGGCCTTCTACCCAGACTTGGCGAATAAGATGAAGAGTGGGCTCGGTCAGTTTGGTTTCTGTGAGGGAAAGAATTGCAGGGAGATTTTTTGAGGTCAAGTCCTTGACTGCCTCCCTTTTGGACAATTGTCCCAAACCTCTTACGTTCCATGTAAGGATCTTCATGGTTTGGGGGTGGGAGTTGAGGAAGAGGCTAATCTGGCAAACCTCCTCAGTGAAGGAGAGGAGGTTGGGGATAGAAGGCCTTTTAATGGACTTCCTTCGTACGAGATTGAGGAGAACAAATTGAGTAGCTGCCTTTGTCCTTTAAAACTGACCTTCAGTCGGCTCTGAGCGTCTGCAAGTAGGAATCAGTGCGCCAGTCCTTCAGGGCCTTCATGTTGGAACCCCATGATCCAATATATTTCCTTCATTATGTCCAAGCCTCTGTTGTTCCCATCCCCGTCAACCCCCTCAGTGTTGTCATTCTCCGAGAGGGCAGAGATAGGCGTGCTAGGTTCCTCGGGCAACTCCATGACAGGCGCTGGAAGTGTGAGAGGAATGTGGTGGGAAGGGTAAAGGTCTGGAGGTAAGGTAGGAAGTGGTTAAGAGATAAGGGGTAGGGGGAGACAGGGAGATAAACAGAGCTGGGGGATGCAGGATGAACTTACATAACACGGAAATGTGACAAGCACGCCACTTACAAGACACCAATTCACGTGCTTCTACACTTGAAATCAACTCTCAACAAGTGCAGCCCTTTGGAAGCTGTTTCAAAGATATTTTTTATGCCAGCGCACCATCCCTTTTTACGGGAGCAATGAAAACAGAAAACAAATGTTTCTATCCTTCACATAAAGCACTTAGCAGCTAGCAGCAAAAGCCACTGGCACATATACATGAAAGTGATCTCCAAAGGCCCTAAACCAGCCTATAAGAGTACAACAAAAAAGAACTTTTGAGATTCACATACCAAGTAAGTGCAAATGTGCTCCAATAAGACCAGCTCCAAAAGAAGGCAATCCCACCTTTGTCATGGCCAATTATTGTCTGTGAAATTAATCAAAGAAACCATCAGACATACATATCAGAAAAGGGAAACACTTATCATATGAGTTCAAATTTATGTTTTCCAATATCACAGCCAATAGTAGGTTTATGATCATAACCATTCATAACTGTCTCATACTTCTCATTGAAAGAGCTTACTAATCCCTCAGCATTTACAGATACTGCAATCCTGTCCTCACTCTCATTAAGGACACAAAGTAGAATTCTAATATTAAAGGCAAGTGTAATTGATAGCATCTACAAGAACAAGAATCCATCAAAGTACTACATTAAAACATAAAAGGAAGATCATAAAACGCAGTGTTGAACTAGGATGAGTTGACTCGGCCGAAGTTACTCGGCCTTGGCCTTTGGGCAAGGTGAGTATTAGGTGAGTCCAATGTCCTGTCTTCATTACTATCTAAAATAGCAGGCACCAACCCCCTTTCATCACTTCCTATCTCTTGGCCACCTCTCTCTCTCCCTCTTTCAATCAGGTCCTCTCTCTCTCTCTCTCTCTCTCTCTCTCTCTCTCTCTCTCTCTCTCTACTACGTACGTACGTACGTACGTACGTACGTACGTAGGTAAGGTAACGGTAAGGTAACGTAACGTAACGGTAACGGTACGGTAACGGTA